CTCGCATAAATCCTCGCAGGGTCTGGAAATCCTCGAAAAACGAGGATTTTCCCCGCAATTGGCAACACTGTACAAAAGGATCGTCAACCAGTCTAGTCGTAAGTTGTCAGTTGTCACGGCTTTGAATCCTCTATCTGGTGACATAATCGGTATTATGATACGCGGCCGTATTTTGCCGCAAATCGGCCAGCAATAGATTTTTGAGGGCGCGCGCAATAGTTTTGGCTGACTTTACCCACCCTTTCTTATCCCCCAGGTACATGATATTGATACTGTCGTGTCCTTTAGAGTGTCCTCTATCTGGTGACATAACGGTATTATGATACGCGGCCGTATTTTGCCGCAAATCGGCAAGCAATAGATTTTTGAGGGCGCGCGCACTACTTATGGCTGACTTTACCCACCCTTTCTTATCCCCCAGGTACATGATATTGATACTGTCGTGTCCGTTAGAGTGTCCTCTATTTGGTGACATAACGGTATTATGATACGCGGCCGTATTTTGCCGCAAATCGGCCAGCAGTAGATTTTTTCGGGCGCGCGCACTACTTATGGCTGACTTTACCCCCCCTTTCTTATCCCCCAGGTACATGATATTGATACTGTCGTGTCCGTTAAAGTGTCCTCTATCTGGTGACATAGTCGGTATTATGATACGCGGCCGTATTTTGCCGCAAATCGGCAAGCAATAGATTTTTGAGGGCGCGCGCACTACTTATGGCTGACTTTACCCCCCCTTCCTTATCCCCCAGGTACATGATATTGATACTGTCATGTCCGTTAAAGTGTCCTCTATCTGGTGACATCATCGGTATTATGTTACGCGGCCGTATTTTGCCGCAATTCGGCCAGCAATAGATTTTTTCGGGCGCGCGCACTACTTCTGGCTGACTTTACCCCCCCTTTCTTATACCCCAGGTACATGATATTGATACTGTCGTGTCCGTTAAAGTCTCCTCTATCTGATGACATTATCAGTTTCATGTTACGCGGTCGTATTTTGCCAAATAACGGCCGGCAATAGATTTTTTCGGGCGCGCGCACTACTTTTGGCTGACTTTACCCCCCCTTTCTTATCCCCCAGGTACATGATATTGATACTGTCGTTTCCTTTAAAGTGTCCTCTATCTGGTGACACTATCGGTTTCATGTTACGCGGTCGTATTTTGCCGCAAATCGGCCAGCAGTAGATTTTTCGGGCGCGCCCTCTACTTATTGCTGACTTTACCCCCCAACAATACCCCCCTTTCTTATCCCCCAGGTACATGATATTGATAATGTCGTTTCCGTTAAAGTGTCCTCTATCTGGTGACACTATCGGTTTCATGTTACGCGGTCGTATTTTGCCGCAAATCGGCCAGCAATAGATTTTTTCGGGCGCGCGCACTACTTATGGCTGGAGTTATTGCCAGGTTCACACCAATGTTCGGTACAGTAAGTTGTTTACTTTAGGGGCTTCTTACGAATTTTGAAAAAAATGATTTTATCTCATTATACGGCCTATTTTGAACACTTTTTACATTTAGCACTTTTGGGGCAAACACCTAAATTACCTATTTCACCCTGAAAATCGTGCTTGAAAATTGCAAAAAGTGCAAAAAATCTGCATTTTTGTTAACTTACTTTTAGTGTGTTTTTACTATTATTTAGGACATTTTAAACATCCTCTGGCACTTTTTTGCCATCTGCAGTTTTTATCCAGAAAATCAGGTTTGAAAAATAAAAAAAAATTGCAAAAATGCCCGGCCCACTCCTCTACCAAACTAAATAGGCCTACCTATAATATAACTTTTAAAACCTAATCTAACTTAACATAACCCAACTTAAACTAACATAACCTAACCTCAAGTCATTTTCGGCATATTGCTAACCTAAGCATGTGTTAGGTCAGGTTAGGTTAGGTTGGATTATATTTAGTTTGGAAGAGGAGTGTAGTTACCAAACTAAATTATAGGCTAATCTTACCTAACTTAACCTAGTCTAACCCAACCCGACCTAACCCGTGCTTAGGTAAGCAATATGCCGAAAATGACAGATTTTTTTAAACCAAGGTTAGGGTAGGTTAGGTTAAGTTAGGTTAGGTTAGATTGTATTATATTTGGGATTAAAATGTCCTAAAGTAATAGCATAGATAAATCATACTCCCTTAGTAGATTTGTCATCCCTATGGAACAGCTGAAGCCAATTTCATTGTTAGTTCTGTACGTCCAACTGTAGAGGTTATGTTTTGTTTACAATTTGTTTCTTCTTATTTCAGTCATTTAAAATCTCATTTAACCAAATAAAACTATGTAATCATAAACAATAACTGGTCTCCTAGTTATATAACCAAATAGTAAAGCACAAATCATGAAAATAACCCTAAAATAACAGAAACAAAATGTTGTCTACCCCAGCGATCAGTGTGGACGTACATGAACTAGACACGAAAAACAAGCTTCAAAATTTACAATGGGATGAGGAGTCTACTAGTGTTGCTTAGTCTATGGTAATAGTAAAACAAATTTAAAGTATAAAAAAAACTTCCAACTTCAGCACTTTTTTTGGCAATTTTCAAATGCGATTTTCAGGGTGAAATAAATTAGGCGTTTGCCCCAAAAGTGCCAAATGTAAAAAGTGTTCAAAACAGGCCAAATAATGAGATAGGCTAAAATAATTTTTTTCAAAATTCGTTATAAGCCCCTAAAGTAACTTAAAGAAATATGTTTACTACCGAATGTTCCCTTTAAACACGGCTTAAGTACATACATCGTACTTACATCGTATTAGCCTAAGTACGGTGGCAATGAATTGTTACAAGATTTTGAACGAGATGATGATGTGTTGGCTGGTGAATTGAAGACTGATCCGGATGGTAAATATTTGCCAAATTTTTAAATAAGTTACTTGTACTCTTTAAGAATGGCAAGTGCGACTGTTGTCTAGGCTACTGAAGGAGCAAACTGGTCTAACTTAGGCCTATAGCCCAGATAAGTTTAGTGGAACCGATGTTTGGTAAACAAGTATGAAAGGGTAGGCTACAGTTTCCTACATGGTTATAGAATAAGATTTTTGGTTGTACATCACACTTGTTGTAAGATAGAACTTGTTTAACTTAATATTTTCATTGCATTTTTTTAAACATGTTTAAACATTGGTGTGAACCTGGCAATAACTAGTGCACGCGCCCGCTAAAATCTATTGCTGGCCGTTTTGCGGAAAAATACGGCCACGAGTCATATGACCGATGATGCCAACAGATAGAGGACACTTCAACGGACACAACAGTATCAACATCATGTACCTGGGGAGTAATATAGGGGGGGTAAAACCAGCAATAAGTTATGCGCGCGCCCGATAAAATCTATTGCTGGCCGTATTGCGGAAAAATACGTCCGCGAGCAATATTAACGATGATGCCAACAGATAGAGAAAACTTCAACGGACACCACAATATTAACATCATGTACCTAGGGAGTAATATAGGGTGGGTAAAACCAGCAATAAGTTGAACGCGCGCCCGATAAAATCTATTGCCAGCCGTATTGCGGAAAAATACGTCCGCAAGCAATATTAACCCTTAGAGTGCCAGGCAAGAAATAAAAGTAACGCTCAAAAAATGCCGACGATTTTTCCCGAAGGTCGCGCTAAAAATGCCGAGCGCGATCTGGCGATTTTTAGGTTAAAATTTCGTAAAAATCGAATTTTCGATATTTCGACCAACGAAAATCGATGTATCGCATCTAGTAACTTTCGACTCAATGTTAATATATGGGTTAAAAGAATCCGAGTATCCATTCGGTTGTTATGACAACTGTTCGATCATTACGAAACGTCCGGTCAGCCGGACGTTGGCACTTTTGGCTCGTTCTAAAAACGTCCGGTCGGCCGGACGTTGGCACTTTTGGCTCGTTTTAAAAACGTCCGGTTCCCCCACGTACGTTGGCACTCAAAGTGTTAACGATGATGCCAACAGATTGAGGACACTTCAACGGACACGACAGTATCAACATCATGTACCTGGGAAGTAATATAGGGGGGGTAAAACCAGCAATAAGTTGTGTGCGCGCCCGATAACACCTATTGCCGGCCGTATTGCGGAAAAATACGTCCGCGAGCAATATTAACGATGATGCCAATAGATAGAGGACACTTCAACGGACACGACAGTATCAACATCATGTACCTGGGGAGTAATATAGGGGGGGTAAAACCAGCAATAAGTTGTGCGCGCGCCCGATAACATCTATTGCCGGCCGTATTGCGGAAAAATACGTCCGCGAGCAATATTAACTATGATGCCAACAGATGCATACTAAAATACAGGTACATGATGTTGATACTGTCGTGTCCGTTGAAGTGTCCTCAATGTTGGCATCATCGGTCATACGACTCGTGGCTGTATTTTTCCACAAAACGGCCAGTAATAGATATTAGCGGGCGCGTGCACTAGTTAATTGCTAGGTTCACACAAGTGTTTAAACCAATTACTATGTTATTTGATTGTACAACACAAGATGTTATAGCGTAAACGCGGCTTTAGGCCTTTGACCCAACCTCTATTATATAGGCATAGGCAAGGTCCAAAAATAAGACTGTCCACGGCTGCACTTTACTTGACGTCCTACACTCATTCGATAGTTTTTTCGATTCGATATTTTCATTCGATTGTTTCATTCGATATAGGTTAGGTTAACCTTACCTAACTAACCAAACGATATATCGAATGAATATATCGTATGAATATATATGAATATATATGATCTATATGAATATATCGTTTGGTTAGTTAGGTTAGGTTAACCTTACCTAACTAACCAAACGATATATCGAATGAAGCAATCGATTAATCGATATATCGATCGATATTTTCATTCGAATGAGTGTAGGACGTCAAGTAAAGTGCAGCCTTGTCCACATTGTGGATTCCACAACCAATGATAATATAATTGGGCTGACCAAACTGTAAACCTTAACAGTGCCAGAGGAAAGATAATACTTAAATGGCTAAAATTAGGTACCTTTATATAGAAGCATAATCCATATTTTGGAAAATTCTGTTTTTGACTTATAATTTCAGCTCAGGGTGTACGAACACGTACAGTACAAAGCGTGACGTAACCTCTCAATTTCACAAAACAAACAAAATAATAATACCTAACAAAACCAAACCAAATCCAAAATAGGCTACTGGGTATGACTGGGTAGAGTCGAAAGTGAAAAACTCTCACAAGGACAAGACAATTACGAATTACTAACTGAACTGAACTCAAATAAAATAAAGGCAGCCGTGAATAAAAATAGTGCTGCGCATGCGCACTATTAAGAACGTTACGTCTTACGCTGTGAAATGCCGAGTAAACGCTCCGGCTAACACTAGTACTTGTAAAATTCAACGGTTGTTGTGAAAGGTGCCGTGTTTCCCCCGGACGTGCGTGAGGCGGACAGTGCGTGAGCCGGACAAAACTGGTTCGGGTGGGTAATTGAGCGGACGTCTCCCTGCATCTACCCGGCTCGCGGGGAATATCCCCGTTACCGAATCGTCCGAGGAATTATCGCGTTTTGCCTCCTAGCGCCCAGTTCTTTCAACCACACCTAAACTACCGAAGCAATATAGCTCTGATTTTGTAGGTTAAAAGCTAAGAGACTAAGTTTTATCTATAACTAGCAGAGTACCCGTCCTTCGTACGGGGTTTGCATATAAGTATAAATGTTTATTGCAGTTATGGGAGAAGACGCGGTTTGAGACAATTTGGTATTTTAATTTATACGGTATCCTATAGTGTAACACACATCTACCATAGCCCTAATGTTCTACCACTGCACCTAAACCATGGAAAAAAGTAAAGTTCTCATTGTGTACCACAACTTTTTGTTGCTAGTTGGTTCAAATTAGCTGTGGTCATAAATGCAAAAAACATAATAGTGCTGTACCCTATTGGCAAGCCTTATAACTTTTTAATGCTATTTAATATCATAGAACCAACTTGTGCAGTTGAAAAGGCTGACAAAATTCTTTAATTTCTTTAAATATGAATACTCATAAGGTTAACATGAGACACTCCATGGCCAGAGCCATTGGGGCGGAGCCTGAAAGGATTTTTGAGGTAAGAATATGTCTATATGTTAATCGGGAATGTCAGCTATCGTCATACCAAATTTCAACCTTGTCGGTTTAGTATTCTTCGCGTTTACTTGTCACAAACATCCATCCATCCATCCATCCATCCATCCATCCATCCATACATCCATATACATCCAAACTTTCTTACTTATAATATTTAGTCGGATAACTTTTGTAATATTGCTCGTTTATGAATAGATTTTCTTTAAACTTGGCAAATTTATTTATTTCATACTAAGCTAATAATATTTTTCTAAAAATCACACTTCGTTACCCTCCCTGTAGGCAGCAAACCTAGGTACTCGTTAAACCTAACGTTATTGAATTAGATTGAATTGAAAATAAAGCCACACAAATGGAAATTTGCTTTGGCTGAAGGTTTGCTGCGGTGGGGGTATTATGGAATTGTAATTGATGTAGAAAGAAGACTTTGTGGTAGTACATGATTTCTAATGCATATAAGATACTAAATAAATCAATCCCGTTGGTCACAATTAGTTGTGCCGGTCAGCCGGTCGCTTGTTAATTTACTGAACTGAACTACTACTGCAAATCAGCGCTACTATTCGTATTTGCTAGCAGCTATACCCGTGCCTTGCAACGGGGTCAGTATGCAAAAGATACACATAGGTTCTTTGAAAATGCCAAATGGTTTCACTCCTACCATTTAATTTAGAAACAAAATTTAACTGTATTACTTAACTTGATAATAGTACGTTTTTGTTAACTCATACTGTTAATACTTATTTAGGTCGGCCTACCTACGATACAAAACCAATGATGGATTTAAAGGTATAATAAAAGAAACCAAAAAATAGAAAAAAGGGAAAATATAAATAAATATGGAAAATTATGGGTAATTTTCTAACATATTTTTGTGAAATTATAATCAGGCAAATGGAAATTCGCTCAGCCTATAGATTTGCTGCGGCAGGGGATTATATATAACTGGTTTACACAAAAATAATTCAAAGAAATAAACCTCATAAAACTCACGATAAAGGCCTAGGTTGATACGGCAATGATTATAGAATATTAATTAGTTCCTATACCGGTATCTAAATGATTTTTTTTTACAACAAATTTTTCCCAGTAAAACATTATTACAGCATTTCACAAATATTAGAACAGACTCATAATAGATCATAAACATAAACAAATGAAGTAACTGAAAGAATCATATACTTATGAAATCACATTAACATATTATGGTTTGACAGCTCCATTTAAGTAATGTTAAATAATGTTTACAATAGGGCTAGTGACATCATTATTTTAAATTTATAATCCTTACCCTCTCTGTTCTAACATTCGTGCAGTATTTAATTTGTTTGAACCAGCTGTGTGGCATTGTGAAATCAAAATTCATTTGACAGTTTAATAGTTCTGCTTGTTTACATTTTTGAGCTTTGTAGGTTTGTTCTTTGTTACCATGGATACCATCAATCAATATTTAATTTTAAATCTCTCACCTCAAATTTTTGAAAGCCCACGGGGCAGAGCCCTAGGACAATATCGAAGCGGGAATAGTTCTATATGTATCCTCGGAGCTGTAGCTACAGTTGTGTGCAATTTGAGCCCAGTCGGTTCAGTAGTTTTTGAGATTATCTCATACAAACACACAGACACCACCTCATCTTTATAATAGTATATCCTTGTATGTATAATACGTGAAGGCAATTTCTACGAAACACTACTCCTCCGTTAATAATGGACGGATTTTTACAAACGACGTGTCAAAATAAAGTATTTTTTGTGTAGACACCCCGTTCACCAATACCTGTAATAAAAGTCCTCCGGCTTTTCCCCACAGGCCATCAATGTTGGAGTTTCTCCCATAAGATTAACATGGGTGAATCTAAATATTTAATTGGAAACTTTGTCCCCACTAATTTGAGAGAACGGCTCGGCGTAGAAACTTGGTAGAGGTGTCCAAAGAAAGGTCTTGGTCTGTAGATGAGTTATCAAAAGAAAAACTAAGCAAACTCCCTTAGGACTCTGCCCCAGAAGCCTTTAAAGATCCCTCCACAGAGCTGTTTACATTTTGGCCATGTGAATAATACTTTTTAATGAAACAGCTGTTCATTTTTAAATTGTATTTCAAACAACACACATTTATTGGGAGTTACTGAATTCTACCAAATAAGTATTTGCAATGTTATTTTCTGATTAAACAAAAATTGATTTTCTTCTTTATCATGTCATGTTTTGCAACGTTCCATTACGAAATCAGTGGAAAATCCTTTTATCACAGCAATTCTTAAATTATTTCTTATTGAACTATCTTATATCTATTGTACGGGTACGTGTCTGCTTTTTCACCATTTTTGCCTACATTACATTTTATCATATTATTCTACACATATCAAATATTTATGTGGAAATATCTGCTCTTATCGTGTCTAATGAAATCCAAACATAGAAACCTTGCCTAAAATGGTACCCACCTTGAAAAAATATTTGCACCTGCCTTTGTTACGGACTTTGGCACACTGGTTTGGTAACATTATTGAAAATAACACGACGTTTTGGCTGTAAAATATGGCACAAAGAGAAAATACTATTTAAGCAGCTACTCTCATGACAAAAAGGCCATATTCCTTTTAAACTAGATCACATAATCCTTTATAAGATACGTTGATTAACAATATGTAAACGTCAATATATAAGTAACAGCCAATTTACAGTATTTTTGCTTTTTGGAAATGTCCCATTGCTATGTCATTTGCATTATTTGTTGTCAATGTAACCGCATGACCATATGAACTAGAAGGCCCCTAACAGTTCAAGAATAAAAGCCAACTTCACTTCAAGTATTCCACTACACCTAACATTCCGTAGAGAGAATATATTGCAACTTTATGGATAAGGCTGAGACAACTAACTGACATCCCCCATGTCAAGGAATTCCAGCAATAAACCACAATCAATATCTCAAAAATATGCTAGAGGGTTCATTCATTAGCACAGAAGTACGATATGAACTGACGCGACGTGACGAAGGAAAAATGAAACTTACACTGTAACGGATATACCCCTTTGAAGTTAGAATATGTCTTCCCAAACATTATTTTCTTTTCAAATAAAACCATGTTACAAATCACGGAAGTGTTTAACTACAAAAAATCCACCAATACGATTTTAATACTGTTTAAAAGTTCTTCCTAAGAAAGAGATACAATATAACATACTAATAATAACACCGATGACGTACGGTATGGGGAATATGCTATTCATCAACCAAATTTGGCAACTAACGCAATTAATATCATTATTGTTGTTACACTTATTACTCTTAAAACAATGCTAAATGCTCAAAATGTGTATATTTCACCCAATTTATTGCAGTTAGATGAATTAAGGTAAGCCTTGGAAGAAAGTAACCGTTGATTTCGACGGGTTTCACCTAGTAGATTTATAATAACCCAATTACAGTAACATGTAGGCCTATTCACCTCTGGTTACTCCCCGTGGCCGTCCAAATTTTAAATGTTAACATTTTAGAAGGGTTAGACAAATCATGAAACTCTAAAACGCTGTGGAATCCAACCAAAAATAAGGTAGAAAATAGAATTTAAGACAACCATTCGGTGATTGGCTCACACATCTACATGTTTTTTTAGTTAAAAAATGGCGACAGCTGGTCCATATAGATGGGATGTTTCCTTCAGTACCCAATAGTGAATACGGTGTACATTACATGTTTTGGTCGAGTTTTCGACCACCGGACGACCACTAGTATTATTTAATTTATAGATCACTTGACTTGATTAAAGTAAAGCCATAGATCAAACATACTCCCCTAGTAGATTTCTCATCCCGTATGGAACAGCTGAAGCCGGTGCATAACCAAACAGTAAAGCACAAATCCTTAAATTAACCCTAAAATAATAAAAAAATCCGTCGACACTAACGCACGCAGTGTCACCGAACATGAACTAGACACGAAAGACGAGCTTCAAAATTTACAATGGGATAATAAGTCTACTAGTGGTTGGTTAGTCAATGGCAAACAACAAAACAACAATACAAAACACAAAACAAAATAGGCTTACGCGCAAAACTGGGGTTTTGAGTGTTCGTATTTTTTATTTCCAATGGACATAAGCACGTT